TTGGACAATGGATTGAAAATGAAAGAGACTGAAAGAAAGACACCAGTTAGGAGGCTATTGAAATAGTTTAGCCAAGGGGTGATGAGAGCCTGATCCAGAATTCTGGCTCTGTGAATAGAAATAAAACAATGATGCAAAACGTGCCTGTTGTCTAGATTAATATATACAGTTGGTTCAAGAGCCTGTTGAGTTATTACAAGTTTGTACTTGTATCACCCATACCTAGCATGGTATCTGGGACGTGTTGGTAGCATAATGCATATCTCTAATTAATTGAATGATATAACTGTTAATAGGTTCAAGACATATAGTGTTAGCTTTCTTCTAATGTAACATTTTCAGTTTTGCTTTAATTCATCTATGATCTGAGTGGAGACACAGAGAGCTGATTCTGATTTGATTCCTTTATCAGTAACCAATCACGTACTATTTGTTAAGGTATAGTCAGTCTAAATTTTAATACTTTGTTTAAGCTCTTCCAACATGGTGGAATGCGCCAGGACTTTTACCCTATTGGCATACCTTCAAGAAACCAGGTTCACTAACAGCACTAAAATAGGATTTCACAGAACACACATTAGACGCTCAATAAATGTTTATTCAATTTAATTGAAGTCTAATCTGTATGCTTTTTCCCTAAATATGGTATATTCATTCCCATCTCTATGACTTTTCATAGATGATTTTTATCATCTCCCTTTCTTTCCACTTGGAGGATATGTTTTCTTAACTACTGCCAATGATTTTTGAAAATAATGGAGGGCAAGAAAAGCATTGTTCCATTTTTAAAGGGAAAATTAAATAGAATCTGCAAACTATAAGCCAGTAATCATGACTTCTGCTTCTGGAAAAAACTCTAGATTTTATTTGCAAAGAGAAGGTTAATGAACATCTGGAAAAGGAAGTAGTGATCACAAAAAGCCAGAATAGCTTTTTTAGGAATTTTGTTGTTGTTCAGTTGTTTGGGTTGTGCTTGACTCTTTGTGACCCCATTTGGGGTTTTCTTGGCAAAGATACTGGAGTGGTTTGCCATTTCCTTCTCCAGCTCATTTTATAAATGAGGAAACTGAGGCAAACAGGGGTAAGTGACTTGCCCAGGGTTACAAAACTAGTAAGTGTCTGAGGCCAAATTTAAACTCAGAAGATAAGTCTTCCTGACTCCGGGCCCTGAACTCTATCCATTGTGCCACCTAACTACCATATAGCTATCTAGGACCTATTTATTAGAAATAGGTTTACCAAAAGGTTGTGGTATATGACTGTGATGGATTACTATTGTAATATAGAAATAATGAGCAAGAGCTATAAGAAATGATGAACAGGATAATTTCAGAAAAACCTGAGAAGACTTATATGAACGGATGCAAAGTGAAGTGAGCAGAATCAAGGGAACACTTTACATAGTATCAGCAATACCATAATGATGATACACTGTGAAAGACTTAGCTAATATGATTAATACAAATATCAAGACAATTCCAAAGGACCTATGATGAAAAATGCTACCTCCAAAGAGAGAAGTGATGAATTCCAAGTGTAGATTGAAGCATTTTTTTAACTCTATTTTTTTTGGTCTTTTTGTGTGTTTTCTTTCACAATACGGCTAATACAGAAATATGATTTGTTTTGTAGGACTTCACATGTATAATTGATATCCCATTGCTTGCCTTCTCAAGGAGTAGGAGGAAGGGTGACATGGAGAGCATTTGGGACTCAAAATTTTAAAAAAAGAATATTAAATTTTACATGTAACATATATGTATGTGTATATATATACATATATATTAAAAAAGGAATAGGTCATATCAGACTAATAATTCATTTCCTTTTGGGAAGAATTACTAGACTAGTTGAGCTGGGAAATACAATAGCTATAGTGTAACTAAATTTTAGTACAGTATTTGACAAAATCTCTAATCTTATTTTAATAGATGGAGTTATGTAGGCTAAATAGTACAATTAAATGGACTTGGACCCAGTTGAATGGCCAAATCCAAAGAGTTGTGGTTCGATGTTATCTCGGAAGGAGGGATTGGCACTGTTTAACCTCTTTATCAAGGACTTCAATAAATGCACAGATAGTACGTGTCTCAAAATTGAAGATGATAAGAAGCCGAGGAAAGTTGACATATTGGATTACAAGATTAGGAGTCAAAAAGACCTTGAGAGTTTAGAACACTGTATAGAACTGATTAAGATCTAACCTAATAGAGATGAATGTAACCTTACTTAGGTTAAAAAAATCAACTTCACTAGTAGAAGACAAGCATGATCAGTATATAGGCAGCGGTTCATCTGACAATTTTATGGGAGTGTTAGCGAATCAATGAGTCAATACTTTGATATGGTGGTCAAGTAAAATCTCAGGGCCTTAGGTTACATTAGAAGCAGCACAGTGGCCAAGATCAGTGAAGTGATAGTCCAGTCCTACTCTGCTTTGATTAGTGTTAGGTACCATATTTTAAGAAGGACATTGATAGGCTGGAGAGCATCCAGGAGTACAACCAGGATGGCAAAGGGCATTAAATTTCTGCCTTATGCAAAATGATTAAGGAAATGGGGAGGGGAGTATCATCTAAAGAAAACACTTAGCGAGTAAAGGAAAACTGTTTTCAAATATTTGACATGATAGCCTGTAGATGTGGGATTATGTCGCTTCTGCTTGGCTACCAAGGACAAAATTCGAAACAATGTACAGAAATATCAGAGGCAAATTTAGGCTTGATATGGGGAAAACAGACATCTTAACAACAATAAGCTCTGTCAAAGTGGAATTGGCTGCCTTAGTAGAGAAAATTCTTCCTGAGACTTACTTCAAACAAAAGCTGAAAGGCCATTTGTTGGGTAGGTCTCAGACAGGATTCTTGTTTAGATAGAAGTTGAACTGGAAAGCCACAGAGGTTCCTGACAATATAGTATTTCCATGATTTTTGATCTAGGCCATCTTCAAAACACAGCTCAAAATCACTTTTCCTTGAATTTTATACAATTGGGCTCTCTTTCCCAACCATTTACTTCTGCATCCCTATTCATATTCTCACTGCACACTACATTAATGGGTTCTTTGTTATATGATGATCCATTCATATGTTTATCGTTTCATTTTAAGGGGTGTGTGTGCGTGTGTGTGTGTGTGTGTGTGTGACAGAGAGAGAGAGATAGAGAGAGTGCAAAGGTCATTTCTTCCTTTGTAGGCCCCCAGGGCACCTAACACAGTACTCTGAACATGATACACACTCAGCAAATTCTTTTGATTAATATAAATATCAAAAACAGATGTTAAAATGTAAGAGCAAGGCACGCAGACTCAAAGGTTTGTTCTGGCTAAGCCATTATAATGAGATCTATTTAGCTTCAAAGGACATCTTAAATTCTGGCACACAGAACAGAAAGGCACTGCTTTAGGGAGGCTGACCTAAAAAAGTAAATAAAAGAGTAGGTTCTGAGGGTGTGATGGGGGCTTAAACTCAAAAAAAAACCAGTCTATATAATAAGGAAATCAATCATGAGAATCGTACACACATGAATTCTAAATGTATCAGTGGCAAAAAATATTTTAACACCATTGTGTACTTATTCCATTATTGAGGAATAATGGGAAGATCTGAAAGTACCAATCTTACATAGCTGGCATCACTAAAGTAGAGTGTAAAACAAGATGCATTTTGAGACTTGAAATAATTCTCAACGTACATACTTACATCACATCACAGTAGTAGCTCACATTTGTAGAGTGATATTTTAGTATGTGATATATAGCTGACTTCAGAGCTTCAGTTAGGAAGCCTGTTTGTAAGAACCATGCCCTCAAAAATGAGGCAGGAAGCTCTGATGAAGAGACTGTTTGAGACTTGGTAGCTTAACCAACACCTCAAGACTCAACCCAGCCAGTCTTGGACCATGTCGACCTCTCCATGGAAACTCAAATTCAGTAGGTAATTGTACCCCTTCCTTCATATATGCACATTGGAAGCCCCTGCACGTGAATCCTTTCAAAGGGTCAAGAAGTGGAGAAGAACGAAAAGCTCTTAGGTTGCCTAAGAACAAAGGGGTTCAGAAAACCCGAAAGTCAGCACTAGTTCATGCTGAGCAACCCCATCATCTGGCAGCCATTCATATTTCTAACTCTGGGCTCCTGATCCTTCACCTTTCTCTTAGTCTCTTGCTATCCTTTAACACCACCAAACCCAGTCTCTCCGATTATACTGTTACTGTCTGAGCTGTGATAGGCTAAACCTCTCTTCTCTGTAAGAAGCACGTCTATGAAGGCAATGAAGAACAAGGAGAAAAACTGGATCATTTTCCTTATTTTAACCATTACCTTCTGTTGCCAAATGAAAGTATTCTTCGTATGAATCTTCTTACTCTTTGACCCAATCTGAAGGACTGTTGTATTTGTATATTACAGTAAGCTACAATGCCTTATGGACAGTAATGTACATGAAGCACGCCAAGGGACCAGCTAATAGATATTTGATTTTGCCTGTGGCCCATCCAGCTGCCATTTTAGATGCTATTTCAATGAACAGAGTAAGTTAAATATTCAGAAGGACTCACTCTACCAAGCAATTTACTTATAACTGCCAACATTTAAAGAAACTAATAATTTAGTTTCGCAAATAATCTAGAATTGTAAATTACTAACTTCATTTTCTATAAATTCCATTACTGATATAATTTTTACTTTCATAAAAATGAACACCTTTAAATAACTAAGAGAAATATGCACAAATACCAGTATGAAATAAAGTCTTTCAACAAAGTGGTTAATCATCTGGGAGAAAATACAAGCATGAATTAACCAATTTGACCACGATTTATATAAAAAAGTACTAATCATCTATTTTCTCATTTTAGAAAAGAAATTGTAGAACTTTCTATGAGCCTAATAGTACTGGCATAAATCCATAAAATGCAACCAAAGAAAATTTTTGCTTAAGATTCACTATGCACATATAAAACACATACACACATATACACAGAAAATGGCTAGCACTTACCTAGGCTAGAATTGCCTTTTGCTATGATAATAGTCTTCTCAAATGACTGTTTGGATAAATTGTGGAATGTAGCACATTCATCAGAGGAATCCAGGGAGTCCTTTGCCGTAATGGGTTCTGGTTTCTGGCCAGAAGAAAAACAAGACGTGTGAAAACAAACAAAAAAAAAAAAAGAACTTGGAAATATGATTTCAACATCAGGGACATTCTCCAATTTTTTCAGGTTTAACTCACCAAGACAATAACTAAAATGGGGCAGTTTTCTAGAACTCAGTGAATCAATAAAGTGATACTTAATCTGGTTCACTGGAAAGATTGCTGGATTTAGAGTCAGAGCACCCAGGTCAAATCCTACCCCTGCTCTTTGTTGCAAATCACTTACTTTTTCTAGGCCTCAATTTCTGCATTTGTAAAATGAAAGCAATATACTACAGTATCTCTTAGCTCTAAATTTATAATCCCCTAACCTTATGCATGCATAAAAGAAGTGCTTAGTACCCCACCCCCAACTACAATACAAAATCTGCAACAAACAAAGGATTTTACTTGTCCAATAGAATCAGGAAGCATAAATGAAGAAAGTTTTGCACTGGAAAATGCTTCATTGGCTAGTTGAGATTCAGTCCAAATCTCTGCATTTTCACATTCAGTAAGGTTATCAATAGCTGGTGCAGGCAGGAGATCTGTGCTGGTAAAGCTAGAAGAAGCTTCCATTCTCAAGTCCACTGAAGATATGTTTTCATCTTGTCTCTGAATCAGATTCTTACTGTATAGATCCTCACTGGACATTTGAAAATCAAGCAGCAGATCAGAAGAATTTTCATCAGTATCCTAATTAAAAAAAAATCAAGAACCATAACCATAAATCGATTAATCAACTCTGTAGTAGAGTATGGTTTTTAAAACTACAATTTTAAAGTAATAAGATGGAGATAATACAACATAATCATTAAGTATTCAAAAAGTATTAACTAACATGCAGCCCTTCTCTTTGAAGCCTTCTGCTTACTGGATGTTCTTCTTGTCTTAACTTCTTTTGAATACTATTATTTTTTGCAAACCATATGGAACAAAGCATATGTTTTAGTGAGTGGATCTTCTATCATGTGCTGCTTGCAAGACCAGCTAAATACTGGACTCTTCTGAATCAATCCTTACTTTACAGAGCCTCAGGGTATCTATACAGTTATACCCAGGACAAAATTATTCCACAGAGAGTCTTCCATGAGTTTTTTAGAAAAGTAACTAATTTATATTCCTAAATTCCACTGCATTAATATTTTTAAATATGGATAATAATCAATATGATAGTGACATTAGCTCCTTGAAGGCAATACATGTTTCATTTTTTTGTCTCAGTAATTCTGGAAGTTAGTCCAGCACCCCATACATATTAGGTGTTTATTATGTTAGTTGAGTTGAACTGAATTAAACACAGTACATTTTAACTGACTGAGACTTCCCTAAGTCAGAAAAAGAAAGAATTATTTTGGCAAAAAACTTTTTTCAGGTCTAATGGGGGAAAAGCATTGGACAAGTGAGTCAGGAAATCTAGATTCCATTTCTGACAGTGCCTTGAACTAGCTTTGTGACCCCAGGGATATCTACAACCTAATATTACTAGGCCTCAAACTAGATGATCTCTAATGTCTCTTCCATTCTAATATGTGTGTGTATAAAATATATATGCATTTTGATATTATATATGCATTCATGTATGTGTGTACACCATTTTTCATTGTCATTTCCTCTTCTCTCTATACTTTCAATCATAAAACTAACAAGCTTTTCTATTCCAACAGAGGAAAAAACTCACATAAGGCAGAGGTTTTTAACCTGGAGGTCCATGATCTAAGATGGGGAAAAAATTGCATCTTTACTTCAATATAACTGATTTCCTTTATAATCCTATGTTTTTCATTTATGCATTTAAAAACATTATTCCAGGAAAGGGTCCACAGGTTTTATGCCACACCATGCCATGCCAAAGGGTCCATAACACAAATTAGGTTAAGAGCTCTTAACAGAGGATAGCGATGATGCTGGATAGTTTGAAATCCTGCATCAGTCCTTGACTTAAACCTCTCAATTCAATTAAAAATGGCCCAAACACAAGAAATAATAAAGGATAAGATAAGGATTATCTGGAGGAATATGATTAGGTCTCAAACGTCTATCCCTTCATACTCTACACCTTAGCTAGTCCACATACTCTGAGATTCAGTATCACCAGTCTCCTTTCTGTTCTTTGCATACATGTCACCTCCCAACTCTGTCTATTTTCACTGGCTGTCCTCCATCCCTGGAATGCTCCCCTTCTCAACTCCACCTCCTGGTTCTTTCAAATCTCAACTAAAACCCTACTTTCTGCAAAAAGACTTTCTCAAGCCTCAATCACAGTGCCTTCTTTCTGAGATTAACTCCAATGTGTCCCATATACCTCCTGCTCATACATAGTTGTTTGTATGTTGTTCCCACATTAAACTATGAGCTCTTTGAGAGCAGAGGCTATTTTTGCCTTTTTTTGTATCCCCAGAACTTAGCATGGAGTAGACAATAAATGTTTGTTGACAAGTTTACTGAATGGCGACAGAGGCAGAATGGTGTAGTTGATAGAAGGCAAGATTTAGAAGAACTGGGTTCAAATCCTGCCTCAAACTATGTAACCACAGGCAAATCACTCTGAGCCCTCATCTATAAGATGGAGATAATAATATAGCACCTATAGTATTCACTTTGCTGGGCTGTCATGATGATAAATCAAATGAAATGATGTATATAAAGCATTTTCAAAATTTTAAAGCTCTGTGCAAATGTCATGTGGTTCCTAGTTTTGACATCTGCTAGCTAAATTAAATTTGGGCTACAATTTTATCCTCTGTAAAAAAAAAAGATACTAATATTTGTACAAGTGCCCTCACAAGGTTTTGTGAAGTACTTTCTTATATGTAAATCACAGTTTTAATGTATAAATGCTAGCTAACTATTGTTATTGTTCTCTAACTACCAAAGCCATTATGAACTGTTACATAAAGAGTGGAGGAAAACAATAGATTATATTGTAATATAGGATGAAATTCCTATAAAATAATTTGCTGTTTCATTACTTTAAACTACTTAATTTTGTATTCACAATGAAAAACCAAATAGACTTATTAAAGTTAACTGATGTAACATATCTAATACCGCTGCATGACTTTCAAATTATGTAGAAGTCATTTAAAAATATACCCTCAAGAAGTGAAAGACACTAAAATTTGTAGTTAGAAAAACATCAGAGAAAGCCCCATCCTAGGTTAAGTTTACTGGAAATTACATGTCCCTAAGCCATGCTCAACAAAGAGTTAATATAGATACAAAGAAAAGAAAAAGCTAGTCAACACAACAGACAACATACGCCTACCTCAGAAATGTTCATGCTGCTCAAATGCCAAATCAGTTTTATTTTTGAGTCTTATGGGCTAAAAGAAAGGCATTTTTTATAAGAGCTTCAAAAATAACTCTACAATCCTCTAACACAATTTCATCTCCAAATTAATTTATTTCAAAAATCTGTGTTAATGTGTACCTACAAGTGAGATAGTCTTATAGTCCCCCAATGGGTAAAGTTGAATAAAAAGGAATTAGAATTTTTAACAAATGCCTCCCCCAATTCCCTACATTTTAAAAGTGGAATACATAAGTTATAACTACCCATCAACATAATCTAATATGTTAGGGTGTGGAGAGGGTTCTGACAAGATGGCTCCTTGAGTAGTGGTGACTAATTCCAATCTTCCCCTGCCTCACAATCATCTCAAAACAATAACAAATTGGTCAAATAGGAATTTTTTTCAGTAACAATAAAAGAGCGGAAATAAGTGGAATTCTCTTAAGGAAAATAATTATATTTGGGAATATTAACAGAAATACTGAAAAAGTAAAAAAAAGAGCTAATAGAATAAATAAGTAGAATAAAAATAGCAAAGGAGAAGAAATCCCCAGAAGAAAAGGATTGCTCTAATAACTGGACCCACAGAAGCAAGAATGAAGTCACTGCCCTAAATCTTTGGAGTGTTTAGAACTCAAGAAGAAACATATAAGATCTGCCATGTATCATTATGAAAATAAGATCAATCAAAAAATATAAGAAGAAGAATATGAGTGACAGCTTAAAAACAGTGGAAATCTAAGGCCTGGATATGCATAGATGAAACACTAATATTCAGGGATGGCAGAATAATAGGACAAAAATTATTTTAACAGTGTCATTGCAAAAAGTCTTAAATTCTCCTCAAAATAAAACAACAGAAGTAAAATACAGAATTCAGAGAGACAATCTGAGAATTATTGCTCTTCAAAAGAAATCCACAACCACGCTCCAGGAAAGCATGTATTTTCTGGGAATTTTTGGAAACAGACAGTAGAGTACAAATTGATAGACTCTAGTGGATCTTAATGGAGAGAAATTCTAAGTTTAGCTCACTCAGAAACGTAGCCGCAAAAAAAAAAAAAATCAGAGCTTCAATGTCAAAATTATAATTTTACTAGCAGCCTGAAGGAATCAATTCCCATTTCAAGAAGCTGCAAGACAAATCATATAATACTATAAAACAAAAATAAAGAATTCATTTCAATAGACATTTATTAAGCATCTACTATATACAAGGCCCTGTGCAAGGTAATGGAAGGAAGGAGGGATCAAAGACAAACATTCCCTACCTTCCAAGATTTTTCATTCTACTGGAAGGATAAAATATGTACAGAGAAAATATGACATAATTTTAAGAGACAAAAAGCACTAACAACTTATAAGACCAGGAAAAGCTTCATATATGGGGTGTCATCTGCCTTGAAGAAAGTTAGGCATTCTAACAGGCAGAGTTGAATTGAGAAGGTATTCTAGACGTTGGGAAAGTAATGCTAAATTTGGAGAAAAACTATTAGAAAACTGTTTAGAGTATAACACACATAACTGGGAGAAATACAAAATTTGCATGGAAAGCTAAATAGACATCATATTGTGAAGGGGTTTGAATGTCAGACTGAGCAACTTATATTTAATCTTATATGCCAGCAAATTAATGAAGTATAGGGTATTTCCTTTCATGGTTTTACAGAGCTATTTTCAAGGACTGTACTTTTGTGGTTCAATTAATTGTGAATTCATTTAGGTCACTGTACAGCATTTTAACAAAATTTATCAATAAAAAGCTGACTTATCGCTAAGTTACTGAAACCTGGGGAAGGAGGACCCTGTGGAACTATCAAACTTTCTTTTAAAATTCTTGAAAAAAAATAGACATCTTTCTGCTTTTCTTCTAGTTTGGGTTACATAGAGGATAGAGTGCTAGACTTGGAGTAAGGTGGACCTGAGTTCAAATTTTTCCTCAGACACTTAGGAACTGTGTGACCCTGGGCAAGTCATTTCATCTCTCGGTAGAATGGGGTTTATACAACCATTTTTTCTCATATGGTGGTTGTGAAGATCAAATGAGATAATGTAGGTAAAGTGCTTCGCAGACCTTAAAGCATCACATAAATTTTAACTATTATTGTTAATATCTAATACACTACAAAATTCTTCTTCTACACTTTTTGTTGAATATTTTTTACTATTTTGAGTAAACACAGCTGTTCCAAGTTTCTATTCTTCCTTTATTATATTATCTTCCAATTTTAATGAGCTATAGAACTATACTATGCATTCATTCTTTTTCCAAAGACGAGACTGTCTGAATTAAAGGATGACATTTTTTTCCAAGTTAGTAATGACATAACTGACATATAAAAAATAATTTCCATTATTATGACTATAATATAAATAAACCTGGGAAGGCAAAAGGTAGATA